AGTGGGTTATGCAACTACAGAGCATAGGAGTGGGATGGGACTTGTGAATACCACACCATAGAAAAGTTCCCTGGAAAGCTAGTCTGTCAGCATTGTCTGCTGTGTTGTCTGCTGGTTTTATGTTTGCAGGACTTTTCTAATATGGAGAAGTATTTTTTTAAAAAAATGACTACCTTCCCATTGTGCCATCTGATGTGGTGCTCTGTTGTTCCATGTGCAGACAAGGCCTTATTCTTGTTTGTGAGAGGAGAGTCTGGGACAACAAGTCTAAGGGTAGATTGAGTTGTTATGAAGAAAAAAAATACAGAATATTGCGGCAGCTGAATATATTTTTGTGTGCCTTCCAGTAGTTTCTGACTTATGGAAACCATAAGGTGAACCTATTTTCTTGTCAAGATTTCTTCAGATGGGGTTTGTCTTTGCTTTCCTTAGGCGGAAAGAGTGTGACTTGGCCAAGGTCACCCAGTGGTTTCCATGGCTGAGCAGGGATTCAAACCCTTGTTTCCAGAGTTGTAGTCCAACATCCAAACCACTCTACCACACTGGCTCTCTGCTGAATATTTACCACTTAGAAAGTGGTTCCATACTAAGTAATGGCTTTATTGCTCCTCAAAGTGTAGTTTCAGAGCTGTGAAAGGGATTGGATGGGAAGAAATAGGCTGCTAATTCTCTCTGCCTGTTGTCTCTCCATCTCTGCCTCTCCTTGGCACAGAAATCGTCCAAGAAGACCTCAAGATGGGTTCAGATGGTGAGAGCGACCAGGCATCGGGGACGTCATCAGATGAGGTTCAATCTCCAGTCCGAGTGCGTATGCGCAACAACCCAACACGCAAGATCTCCACTGAGGTGCGAACATTGGAGGATTTGGTGGAAAGTCCACGGCGAGGGAGACTCTTGGCTCCCTTTCACAATGCCCATTTACACCACTGTGATTCCACTTTTAACTGACTTGACTCCATCCTACAGAACCTTGGAGTTTGTAGTTTGATCAGAGGTATTCAAGCTTACTACATACCTGGAATTTCTAGTATGTATGTAGTACATGAGGTATGTAGTAAACTTGAATACTACATACCTCATGTACTACATACATACTAGAAATTCCAGGATTTTTTTTAGAACAATTTTTATTAACACAAGCAAATAAACACAAATACGTCACACACACACATGTATATAATAAAACAAACAAGTGATACAAATCAACAAACTTAACTAAACTACATATAAAAAATCTACTAACTTTTCCCTCACTAATCAATGGTTGTATCCCTTATTTTTTATTATACTTATAATCTCTCTCTCTCTCCTACTTAAAATCAAATATAATTCATTTAATAAAGTCTAAAATCAGTACATGTCCCCATTATAACACTATAAAAGATATAAATGATTTCCAGTATTAGTTAAAATTCGTCAAAGATTTTAGAAATTCGTGGATTTCACAGGATATGGCCATGGCTGTTAAAGTGGAATTGTAGTACTCTAATTGTGTAGTCTGAAAGGGACCTCTGTCTTCTTTTATTTTTGTTTTTTTAGCATGAGTTGCTTTGTAGACATAGTTATGGAAGGGAATACATAGAAGTGGTGTAGTTCACACATAGCTCCCCTGCCCTCCCAAAAGCAATTTCAGTCCTTAGGACTCTGCATGGTCTGCAGCTCTGAGCTTCAGTTAAAAAAATGCAGATTGCTAAAATACTTGGCAATATATCTGATTGTACACAGGATTCCTCAGATGGACACTTTTATTCTTTGTGGTGTGTTTCAAGTTTCACAGACTTGCCTGTGAGGCTTGTGAATGAAACTCACACCTCTGCCATGGAATTATCTTGAGGAACTTTTTTTTAAAAGGCTTTTGCCTTTCTGAAAACCTGAAGGGGCCAGTCCTGGTGAATCCCCTTAAGGAATGGAATCCTGCAGAATGGACGCTGCCCTTGAACAAGCTGTCAGAAAGCATTGGGTGCTGTTCACCTCTGCTCAGTGTGTCATCAGCAGAGAAGGAGCAGCCATGCTTCCTTGCAGATTCATTAGCTCTAGTTTTATCCCAGCTTCAGTCTTGTATTTTACCACATCTGATCCCCATTTCCAGCTAGGAGTTCCATACAGGGGAGTGATTAGGCACAGAAAAGCAGGACAGAGTATTTTTGGCAGCCCACTTGGGGCTAATATGGAAACAGTGGGCAAATGAAAGAAAAACCCAGCATTCTGTTTCTCTGGATAGCAGCTGCAATTTGAGCCTACGTATTTTTTTTCTTAACCTTCTTTTCACTCATAAGTAGATCTCTTCTTAAGAAGGAGGCAGGCAAAAAATATTTGCATGCTTGTCAATTTTGGGACCTTCGTAACAAGGCTGACCCGATTTATCCCTGTTCCGCTGTAGGACATTAACAAGCGCTTGTCACTCCCGGCTGACATCCGTCTGCCTGAAGGCTATCTGGAGAAGCTAACCCTCAACAGCCCTCTCTTTGACAAGCCCTTGAGCAGACGGTTACGGAGGGTCTCTTTGGTAAGTGAGAACCGCCACCTCTTTTCTACCTCCCTCTGCCCCATTCTGCTGGCTGCTGTATCCTCATTGAAGCTGAAGTAGTAATTGGAGCTGTAGATGAGTAGCCACTGCTCCTGCTGGCCTTTTACAGCACTTGTAGCTGGAAAGGAGCAGGCTCTTACACGATGTGTTTTCTCCTGCAGTCAGAGATCGGTTTTGGGAAGCTGGAAACGTATGTGAAGCTGGACAAGTTGGGAGAGGTGAGTACCATCACTCTCAGTTTATTTTTTGTTCCATTTCTGTCCCACAGTGAACTCAAGGCAGTGAGCTCACATTTTTCTCACAACAATTTTGTGCAATTCAGGCCAAGAGACTAGTGTTTGGCCCAAGGTTACCTATTGGGTTTCCTGGTTCAGTGGAAATGTGAGCCTGGATTTGAATTAGTCCTAGTCCAGTACTCTGGCTACTACACCATAGGCAGGAATGAAGGTCTTGTGGAGGATTCCCATCTAAGAGGCACTTGTGGTAACTGTTTGATTGCTTTATTTTGGCTGAGAAATCTTTCTTTTCATGTTCATTTTAAGTGCTTTTTATCAGGTGGTCATTTTTATTTTGCCTTTCTCCTGAGAAGCTCAGTGTGGTGTATATGATTTTCCCTCCTGCTGTTTTCCTCACAAAAACTCTGTGAAGTAGGTTTGGTTGAGTGATAATGTCTGGTCCCAAAGATCCTGAGTAAGGATTTGAACCTGTATCTTCCCAGTCCTAACCCAGCATCATAGGTAGTACACCACATTCAGAGCAAAGAAGTTTGACCAACATGGCATATTTGCCTGTTTATCACAATCAGATCTCCAGCTCTTGACATCTCAGTGATATCTCTCACAGCTGATTTGTTCCACTCAGCTTGAGTGAATCAATTTAGTCTAGTGGAGAGAACCTTGGATTTAAGACTACTTGGTTCCAGAATGGTATTACAGTGTTTCTCTCCCCTTCTTTCTTTCCCCCCACTTGGTACATGAATTTGAAACCCGTTAAATCACATTAAATTTGGTATTCTCCAGGACTTGATCTAAAATCCCAAAATCCATGTTGACCGGTATCATGGTCTCTATCCCATTTTGCAGACTGCATCTATTAATGGGGCTCTTGAGACAATTCATAAGGAAAGGGGTTGTATTAACTATATTTGAGGTTATCAAGTCAAAAGAAAATAATTCTTTTCTACTACAGACCAGAGAACTCACCTGACCCTAGTCAATCTAGTCTAGTGATAACCTTCTTTCTGAAACCATGTCCTATAAATTGTTTCTCACCTGGCCTTAGAAATGACCCACCAGCCCTAGTTATCCCACATTGGCTCTGAATCAGTCACAGCTATCCAGTTTTGTTATCTGGAATCTCCCTCTTACAGCCCTAAACAAAATTGTCTGCATTTTCCCATGACTACCTGGCTGCAGTATTTCATGCTCTGGCAATTTCCTGGTTAGGCTACGATTGCTAAGTCGAAATCATTATAGAAACCACATAACACAAGGTTTGAAGAGTTTGCACTAGTTACCACTGTGCTTCTGGTCTGAATTTAAGATGCTGGTGAGGACATTTAAAGTCAGTGGTTTGGGATTTTGATATTTGAGGGAGCATCTCTCTCTGTAGAAGCCTACACTTGGATTGAGATCTACTGGAGGGGCCTTCCTCTATGTCCCACCAGTGGGAGCAATATACTGTGCGAAGATACCGGAGAGGGCCTTCTTTGTTGTAGCATCCCAGTTATAAAATGCTCTCCCCTTGGAAACCCTATTGCACCAGTGTTAGTTTCATTCTGACTCCAAGTTAAAACTTGGCTTTGGGGCCCAAATGATTTCATTACAGTTCTTGTATATACAGAGTTTTACACTTGTTTTAACTGTTTAAGTTACCCAACCGTTGGGTATTTGTATGTAGTTTACATGTTTGTGTTGTTTGTTGGTTATCGGAGTATTTTAGCTTGTAAAATTAATATAAATAAATAACCCAACCTTTGCATTGTTCAGTTGCTTAATATGCTCCTAAAATGCCTAAAATTAATTTATTAATGTTTAAATTTTAAAATTTTATTAAAAAACAATTTGATAAGCTACCCAGAGATCTTAGACTAAAGGATAGAATAAAAATATATCAATGATGATGATGCCTCACTAATTCCTAGATTCTTGAGTAGAATCTGAACCCCTTTGTTGAGGTTGTGTGCCTTCAAGTTATTTCTGACTTACAGTAACCCTAAGGCAAATATATCATGGGGTTTTCTTAGTGGGATTTGTTCAGCAAGGGTTTGCTATGGCCTTTCTTTAAGGCTGAGAGAATGTGACTTGCCCCAAACCCTGGTCTTCTAGAATCCGTTCCACATTTGAACCACTACAGCATGCTGGCTCTTCTGAATCATTAATGGTCCAAAATTCCAGTCAGCAATACGTGGAAGGCTCTGGAGCAGTGATGGTGGTGGTGGGTAATGATGCTGACAATGATGATTATAGGCTGTGGTTTCTTGTAACTGGCTTAAATTCTCTACTTCTATTCATTTATTCACTGCATATTTCTTAGCCATATTTGTTACTTGGGAAGAGGATGCATGGTTGCTGGGTAGGTAGATTGGATCTTGGAATTGAGCTGGTGGTTTGCCATGAGGTGAGCTACTCCCGGTCCCAGCCTCTGCCTCCTGGTGATCCCTTGATGCTCTTAACTGAGTGTCCCAGGGTCCAAAGCATTTACTTTGATTTTATATTGAGCCAGCATAGTGCAGTGGTTTGACTCTGGAGACCAGGGTTCAAATCCCTGCTCAGCCATGGAAATCCACTGGGGGACCTTGAGTAAGTCACACTCTCTCAACCTCAGAGGAAGGCAATAACAACCCCTCCTAACCAAATCTTGCCAAGAAAACCCTGTGATAGGGTTGCCATAAGTTGGAAATGACCTGAAGGCTCACAACAACAGGTAGAAGGAAGATAGATGACTGGGGAGATACTGTGGTCTCATGATGATGACAATGCCTCTGTTTGGGCTCTACCACTTTAACCTGCAGGTGAGGT